TTTTTTTTTTTTTTTTTTTTTTTTTTTTTTTTTTTTTTTTTTTTTTTTTTTTTTTTTTTTTTTTTTTTTTTTTTTTTTTTTTTTGTGTACAGAATATTAATTATGGAATAAGGACAACTCACAAAGGAGTGGTTCAAATAAAAATATAATAATAATAATAATTTTTATATAACCCACTTACATGCTTAATTATATATCGTCGATAATAAAATTATTGGGATATTTTTTTTATAATATTAAATTAATCATAATTCAATATTTTTATCTAATAATTTAAATTTTTTATATATATATTATTGACCTCATTTCAATATAAAAATTGAGAAACATTATCTTATAAAAAATTTAAAATCAATTTCACACTACGATCAAATGTATCAACCGACAACTTAACAACAAAATTTAACTAACTTACGTTCCCTTAAAAAATGGTATATTTTCATTCTAATTATGTTTTAAAATACGGATACGAGAATGAGGAGAATGAAATCTGACCCGACTATTTCCATGCACCTCGACAAAAAAAGTTGATTCAATTTCTTTCGTTTGGGTTCGGTTCGATCTATCTTCCTGTCATCTACCAATTCACACTCAGTTTGACGTGGTTTACACAGTTCTTTAGATAAGTCAAAGCACTCTCCTTCCTTCTCCGCTCTTTCCCGACGAACCCGACTCGTGGGGGTGGGGGGAAAAAAATTACTACCACCACCAAATCATCCAAGAAAATATCCTAGAGTTTTCATGTGGGATACCCTCCCTAAATCCCTTGCTCCCATTTATTGAACATAACCAAACTAAGGGCCCACCGACCCCAAAGGGGACCCTAAAGGAAGGGGTAAGTGTCCTCAATCATTGTCCCAGCAGCACAATGATCGTCCAATAAAAGGGACCCATCCCTCCAACTATAGGGACGATCCTGTTTCACGTGTACATGTTCGGTCGGTGCATCCTCTTAAGACCCCTTTTTTTAGGACCCAAAAAAGGGGAAATTACCCTCCATCCCCAAATTTAAGTTCATTAGCTACCCGGGAAATCCCACTTCTCATCCTATTTCCCAAAATCCTCCCCATTTTGGAGGGAAAAAAGAGCACAAATCAAACCTAAGTTAACCCTACAAGCCGATGCCTCACGAATTTACCAAGATGACGAGAGTCCAAGAGACGAATGTATGTATGTGATATACCATATTGGTTGTGGAGGAAAACAAACTGCCATTTATAAGAGTGTAGAAACTTTAGACTTGAGGGAATCTTGAAAAGGAAAGTTCAAAAAAGACAATATTTGCTAGCGGTAGATATGGGGCGTCAATGTTTCATTGGAAGAGACCCATAAAAACGAAAATTTTGTCACAAACATGCTTACATATTCAAAAACCATCCAAATTTAATGTACATATTCAACAAAACTAGAACTAGCTCGTGAGCTATCTCGAGCTCGAAACATAATCGTTATCAAACGAAGGTTACAATACTATGATCAAGATCAAGATGGGTGACGATGTATTCCCTGCCCAGTCATGCACAATTGAACAAGTTGTTTAAAGCTTTTCTTAGGCTTCTTATCCTTTTCGACCATTATCATCTCTTTTTCCTTTTCTATCTCTCCCTCTGTTTGCAAACAAAGCTGAAAATTTCAATGAAAAAAATAATTAATAGAACACTAATTTTTGTTTAAAAAAAAAAAAAATATATATATATATATATATATATATATATAGTACCTTAAGGACTCTATCCTCGATATTGTCCATCCTCTCCACGAGGCTTCCTCGGAGTTCAGTGACTTTGACAACATGGTTGATCGGACGGCAGTGCTTCTCCAGAGTTTTTGGGGAAAGATCAACGGACGACGTTAGGTAATCGCTCGTGAGGGTCCCACTTGATGGAGTGGATGCACACGAGCTCTTTGGCGACTTCCCGCACCCTCTAATTTCCTCCAACCGCCTCAGCTATTTCACCCACAAAAAAAAAAAAAATCAATAAATAAATAAATAAATTTAAAGATAAATTATAATTACGTAAAATTAAAAAAGAAAAAAAGGGGACGGCCATTTTCTTGGCCATTTTCTTGGTCATTTTCCCGAGAAACAAACAAGAAAGCAAGCCCAACTCACCATATTATCGAGGCGCTCCAAGCGCGAGAGAATCGGTTCATCGGCCACACCCATTTTTCGTTTTCCCGGGAAACAAACACAAAATTCCCTTTTCAATCGATTCTTGGCCTTTTATAATTTTGCCTAAATGCCAAACAAAAAACATAAATAAAGGGTCTAGATGAAAGTTACAGGGGATGTCGGTTCTCAATGGTGCGACGTGTCGGATTTCCTAGAGGGAGAAAAGGATTGAGTGTGGACACGCGTCTCTGTGGAAACATGCAATCAATGAACGGAGGGCATGTGGGTGGTCACGTGGGTCTCAGCAATTTAATAATTAATTGTCATGCTATTGATGAACATTATCCTTTTCTCTCCTTGTACTGTATATTTAATAAATATGAAAAAAGAAGGGAAGGATTGTCTGCGGGCGTGCATAGCGTATTCACAACTTTGTGTCCAATCATTTATTGATGGGCCGAATTAGTTCGTTCATGGGCCAAAACAAGCCCAACAAAACATCTCGGAGCCCTAAAATAGCAAGGGAGTAATCTTCTAGTTCCAGATACCTCTTCCTTCCTTCCCTCCCCCGCCGCCTCCGGTCAAGCTGAGGCATCGCTAACTGAGTCCCGATGACGAAAAGTTTAGTAATCTGAACAAGTATGGAGTATGGAGTGTGGAGGCTTCTTCCATCACTGGCGCTCCCGATGCTTATCGCAGAGGTCGAGGAACCAGTTTCTCCATGAATTTCCAGGTAGATGCTAGGCCTACTGAGGGACTCTCACCGATCATTCGAAATCATTTCTGAAATGGAAATTTTCTTAATGCATTCTTTGAGATTTGGAATCGGAAGTAATTTTGATTCGAAATTTAGGACGTCGATGGCGATTTTTGTTAGTAGGTTTTAGGCGATCTGAATCGGAGATATTATAGGTGTCTTCTGTCGAACGATTTGTCGTTCTAGGGTTTGAACTTTGAATTTGAAGATTCCGGCCAAAAGGACTGGACCATTATCATCCCTAGTTTTGGACCAGCAGATTCTTACCACGTTGCATAGATATCCTCAGGAATCAAACACCTTGAGACTCTTGATGGTTGGAAAACAAAATGGCAACGAGTAGTGAGACAAGAAAAGCTTATAAGCAAGATGAATGACCAGTTTACAAGGGCAACTTCTTTGATTACCTCATCAATGAATTTGCAAAGAATAAGTGAAAATTGTATTCAAATGTTAGGCTGTTATACATGGCTTAAACAATGATACAAAATTAAGCCTCCAATAATACCTTTTGCTCTGTATCTTCATATGGAGGGGGCATCAAACTAAGTGTATTGACAAAAAGATCTTCACGTCCAGGTGGAGATTCTGCTACAGGAGCATCCAATATATAATCTGGAATTGCTACAAGTGTTTCATCGAAAAATGACTTGATGGTCTACAATGTCCAGTAGCAGTACACTTATAAGGTATCCAGTCAAGGTTCAATAAGAAGTGACTTTTGAAGGATAAAAAACTATGATAACAATGCAAGCGAAAAAAGTTGAAAATTTAATACTCCGTTTCGTATAACTAAAATTGAAGTTATATTTTACATACCTTGCAGTGCTGAAAAGCGGCATCGGCTTTACGCTTCCATGGACCATTCCCAGGATCTGTATAAAAAAGATGAAGCAAAGGCTGCAGCAGATAAAAGAGACAAGTTACCATACCGGGTGTTTGTGTGGCGTGGGATGCATTTTGCTAGAATAGAGTCAGTATTGATTAAGAGAGACAGAAATCTCATCTCAGAGGAATGGAAGAATTATATTATTTAGACAGGTGTAGAAATCTCTCTCTCTCTTTGTAGAGGTATTCTAAAAACGAAAAAGCTCGAAAAAAGCCCAAAAAAGACAATATCTACTCTTGGTGGGTTTGAATTGTCACAAATGGTATCAGAGTGAGACACCATGGGTTTGAATTGTCACAAATGGTATCAGAGTGAGACACCAGGCAATGTACCAGTGAGGAGACTAAGCCCCGAAAGGGGTGGATATGAGGCAGTGTGCCTGTAAGGACACTAGGTCTCAAAGCGGGTGGATTGGGGGGTCTCACATCGATTGGAGAAGGAAACAAGTGCCAACAAGGACGTGAAGATGTTGACCCCGAACGGGTGGATTGTGAGATTCTACATCGGGAGGCGAACGAAACATTCTTTATATGAATGTGAAAATTTTTTCCTAGCAGACTCATTTTAAAAACCTTGAGGTGAAGCTCGAAAGGAAAACCCCAAGGAGAGCAATGTCCGTTGGGCGTAGAAATCTCTTCCTAGTGCATGCGCATAAAAAAAAAAAACAATAAATAAATAAATATCACCTAAACTCAATTGAAAAGGTTCTGGATCAGTATAAAGCAATAAGATGACAGAAAAAAAAAAAAAAAAAAAAAAAAAAAAAAAAAAAAAAAAAAAAAAAAAAAAAAAAAAAAAAAAAAAAAAAAAAAAAAAAAAAAAAAAAAAAAAAA